CACACACACACACACACACACACACACTAGCAACGCACAAATAACACATGCATTATCAACAACACAACACTTAAAAGGTTAGTTCACCCAAAAATGAAAATTCTGATGTCCTTGCTTCTGTGTCTGGGAACATTGCAGTTGTGTTGCTGTCTATGAAGGGTCAGAGAGCTCTCGGATTCCATCAAAAATATCTTAATTTGTGTTCCGAAGATGAGCGAAGGTCTTGCGGGTTTGGAACGACATGAGGGTGAGTAATTAATGACTGAATTTTCATTTTTGGGTGTACTAACCCTTTAATAAAAAGATGAAATATTTTATTTGTTTAGCTGCATGTCGTGTGATCAGTAATGAGTAACAGGTGAAAGTGTTGTTAAATAATTGAAATATTAATCTCAGGTGGACTTGTTTGTTTGTTTATAGTTTAGCCAGCTACCACAGCTATATTCTTGATGAGAAACAAGAGGAATTAGAAAAAAAAGTAAACATATAAATGATTAAACTACACTGTCGTTCAAAATTTGGGGTCAGTAAGATTTTTAATGGAGTCTCTTCTGCTCATCAAGGCCGTATTTATTTGATCAAAAATACAGGAAAAACAGTGATATTGTGAAATATTATTGCAATTTCTAATATTGGTTTCCTATTTTAACATACTTTAAACTGTAATGTATTTCTGTTATGTGCAGCTGTATTTCCAGCATCATTACTCCAGTCTTCAGTGTCACATGATCTTCAGAAATCATTCTAATATGCTGATTTATCATCAATGTTCACACTGTTGTTCTGCTTAATATTTTTTTGGAATCTTTTCTAACAACATGATTCTATACTATCACTTTTTTATCCATTTAACACATCCTTGCTAAATAAAAGTATTAATTTCATTTAAAAAAAAGGAAAGAAAAAAATGTACTGACCCCGAACTTTTGAACACTACTGTACATTGTAACACAAGATTTCTATTTTGAATAAACACTGTTCTTTTTAACTTTTTATTCATCAAAGAATTAAAAAAAAAAAACTATCACAGGCCTAAAAAAATATTAAGCAGCACAATTGTTTCCAGCACTGATAATAAATCAGCATATTAGAATGATTTCTGAAGATCATGTGACACTGAAGACTGGAGTAATGATGCTGAAAATACAGCTTTGATCACAGAAATAAATTACAGTTTAAAGTATATTAAAATAGAAAACTGTTACCTTAAATTGCAATAATATTTCACAAAATCACAGTTTTGTTCCGTATTTTTCATCAAATAAATGCAGCCTTGATGAGCAGAAGAAACTTCTTTAAAAAAAAACCATTACAAATATTACTGATTCCAAACTTTTGAACGGCAGTGTATATATAAACAAATAAAAACAAATGATTTTTAAGTTTAACTTTGATTAAATAAAACTAAACCTGGCTTCACTTCATTAAAAATCTATTCATAAGAATCAACAAAAACATTCAGTTTCAACCATTACAGTCCATCAAAATATGCTTCAGATCAGAGTTACTTTAGAAATACTAGTTTTAATTCATATTTTGAATTAGTTTTTATTTTATATAATTATAAAATAACTTTTAAAGTTTTAGTAATTTTGTTGCATGTTTGTCATTTTCATTTCTTTCTAAAATTGCGTCTATTAATTTTTATTCTTTTTTAATTATACTAAATAAAAATGTGAAATATTACCTTGGCAACTAGCAGAATTTATTTATTTATTTTTATTATTATTATTATTTATTTCAATTAAGGTTTTATTTTATTTCAACTTCTAAGTAACTAAAGTTATTAATGTTTTTGGTTTGAGTTTCAGTGTTTGTGAATCCCTGCTCTGGACGGCTAATAGTGAAGCTCAAGCCGTATCCCATGATGCCGAGCGGCGTACCACCGGTAGGGTGAGCCAGGTGGCCACGATACGGTCGGTGACCCAGCGGTACCAGGCGGGCGAGAGCAGCATGAGCGGCAGAACCGGACCCAGCATGAAGACGCTGCCGAAGAAACTGCCCAGAAACAGAGTGAGGAGGAAACACAGACCCCTGAGGGACACCATCGTCCCGTCCTGAAACACACAGCACACACTCTTCATCAGAGCACTGACACACGAGCCGCCTTCATATGTCAAACTATTCACATATTTAGTACACATTAATCTGGACAGATGAAGGTATTATCATGTCCTCACTATCTGTGTGACCAGCCTTTGTGCTAACCGCTATAACTCCCCGCTGACGACCCGTCCTGCACTTCACTAAATACTGAACTCAGGGACTCCACACTATCTGCTGGATGTACAGCGGTAAGTGAGGATAAGGATAACAGTAATTGGATAGAGGTAATTATAATGACTGATTCCTGAAATGGAAAAACACCGTCAGAAATCTTCTGAAAGGAGTCGGACACCATCCCAGTGACAGCTTTTGTACCTTTTTTCTGCGAGTGAATGTGCTGACGAGCATTTATGATAAACTAAAATACTCACTAATGTCATTTCTATTGAGTCTTGTGTGTCATGTATTTATGTTTACACATTTCTAATGATTTTAACTTTATAATATTAACTTTAAGTGTAATATTGAATAACACACTACAGTTAAAATTATAAATATTAATTATAAGCATTATAAATATTTTCATGTGCCTCAAGTATGCTAGTCTACATCAAATTAAGTGTACGTCTTTAAAGTTTGACAAAAGATTATTAAATTATGTGCTTTAAGTAAACCGTTTAATGTGAGATTATTACAAAGTGCGCTTTTTAGAAGCGTGTTAGGAGAGTATCTCTCTTTAAGACATCTGCAAGTACAGTTTTTAAAAAATATATAAGATTTGAAGTACACTACAAGTGCGCATTAAATACAATCAAGGGCACTTCTTTTTCACAGGAAGAGTGTCTATAAACCTCGATCAGTGTGGCTCAGTAATACTGTACTGAAGCTAGTCTGCAGCCTCATCTCTTCATCATCATGTGAAATATGACAGAAATATGACAGCTGCAATCACAGTTTATCACAGTATGAATGAGAAATGAAGCAGCCTAACATGCAGTTAGGTTTGAATGAAAAACACTGGATGAAACACTGACAGCAGCAGATGACGCGTTATGACGAGTTATGGAGTGTTATGACGAGTTATGGAGTGTTATGAAGCGCTATGGATCATTATGGAGAGGTATGACGCGTTATGGAGGGTTATGAAGCGCTATGGAGAGTTATGAAGCGCTATGGAGAGTTATGAAGCGCTATGGAGCATTATGACGCGTTATGGAGGGTTATGAAGCGCTATGGAGAGTTATGAAGCGCTATGGAGCATTATGACGCGTTATGGAGGGTTATGAAGCGCTATGGAGAGTTATGAATCGCTATGGAGCCTTATGGAGAGATATGACGCGTTATGGAGGGTTATGAAGCGCTATGGAGAGTTATGAATCGCTATGGAGCCTTATGGAGAGATATGACGCGTTATGGAGGGTTATGAAGCGCTATGGAGAGTTATGAAGCGCTATGGAGCATTATGGAGAGTTATGACGCGTTATGAAGGGTTGTGGCACGTTATGAAGCTGCACACTTGTTGGAGAATGAATGAATCGTGTGTGAATGCGTCTCTAATACAGCAGTGTTCATCTGTCACCGATCATCAGAGCAGAGATCAGTGTGCATCGGGTGATGTGAATCTGCTGACAGTGTGTGCCGTTATTTACTCACTTCAGCGATTTGCGTTCACAGGAGTGACTGTAAATATCAGCGGCGACGACATCCGAGCATCTTCCGTCGAGAAAAACCGCCACAGCTGAAGCTACTTCTCCTCAGATCGAGCACGACACAGAAAACTCGACGCGAAATCGCTGTTTACACTGGAATCCATCATTATCCTACCTTCACCTCTGAACTTCCGCCTCTGACGACACGACGCCCACCCGACCAATCACAGACAACTTTCGAACTGATAAGCCCCGCCCCGTCAGGCGTCCACTTTCGGCTGTCGGTCCTTGTGAACTTGTAAAGACGCTAAAAGTGTATTTTTCATGTAAATCTGTATATTTTATAATTGTTATCAAGTTAATAGAGAACAGAAATGTTATTATTCCTACATCTATTGATGAATTCGAATCTATCTATCTATCTATCTATCATGTGCTTCTGAATGGATGTTTTGTGTAGTTCCATCATCGTCCAGCAGGGGGATCTGAACTGCCAAAGCAAAACACTCATGAACAAACCTCTAGAGAAGATGAGTGGATTTTGACCTTTAACCTCTGATTGTCATGCATTTGCTCTGTCTGTTGTTCTTCCATTTTTGTTTCCATGCAATAAAAAAGTTAGATTAGGGAAACCTGCTGGTATGAATATGTGATTTTTGTGTGGAGTCTGATGTGCTGACAGCATGAGTTTAATAAATGACAGCACACATAATCTCTGTAGTGCTTGTGTAACATCACTGATCACTGCACTCCATTTACAGGCAGAGGAAAACACGGACAGCTTAACACATAAAGCCTTTTAATAGAGGCCAGTCCTCACATCACATCATCTCAGAGCCAGAGGACGTGTGTGTGTGTGTGTGTGTGTGTGTGTGTGTGTGTGAGTGAGTGAGTTTTTGTCCATATAATGAAAGTCAGCAGGCTTCAATGTTGTTTGGTTTCCAACATTCTTCAGAATATCATGAGAGAGAGAGTGTGTGTGAGAGAGAGTGTGTGTGTGAGAGTGTGTGTGTGTGTGAGAGTGTGTGAGAGAGAGTGTGTGTGTGTGCTCAGTGTGCGTAAAGGAAAGTTTCTATTCCCAGATGAACACCGAGAAAACAGCAGATTATTTTTACTCTTTCTTTGGTCTGAACATGAAGCGCAGTGGCAGCAGACTGTGTGACACACGAGACTGCAGAGCCACGACTTAGAAAGACACTTCAGTGCTAGAGAAACGTGGACTTAGTGTTTGCTGGTAAACGAGGGCAGAAATTGAGTCTGATTCCAATGAAACATCTATCAGCAGCTGCACAATAAAATAAGACATTTAGTCACAATGAGCTCAGAGCTTCTTCAGTAATCGAACACAACACCTTCTAGACTTATGTGATCTTATATTGTGATTCTGATTGGAAAATAGTCACAAACCACAGAATCATTTGACATTATCTGGTGTGCAGAAGCTGATGTTCTGATGTTTACTCATGTTCTGCCCATTGTGATGTGTGTTTGACTCCATGTGACATAACAGCAGAACTAAACGCTCAGAGCTTCAGAGCGTCTGCAGCTTCAGGCCTCATTCTGCTGATTAGTGTCTAATGAGACGGACCAAACAACACAGAGTCACTTTCATTGTGTTCACTGTCTGTGAGATGTGAGCAGATAATAGTTTTCTGATGTGATCTCAATCATCATCACGTTGACCTTGTGAGCGCTCCAGTGATAAACTACACTGACCATCAGATAAAACACATGCTACAGCAGCCGGATCATGGAAACACTCCCACTCTCACACTCGCGCGCTCACTCTCACTCTCTCACACTCGCACTCGCACGCGCACACGCTCACTCTCACTCTCACACTCACGCGCTCACTCTCACTCTCTCACACTCACACTCTCACGCTCACACGCACACACGCACACACTCACTCACACTCACACACTCTCACTCTCACTCTCTCACACTCACTCACTCACTCACTCTCACTCTCACTCACACACTCACTCACACACACACACACACACTCTCTCTCTCACACACACACACACACACTCTCTCTCTCACACACACACACACACACTCTCTCTCTCACACACACACACACACACTCTCTCTCTCACACACACACACACACACTCTCTCTCTCACACACACACACACACACTCTCTCTCTCACACACACACACACACACTCTCTCTCTCACACACACACACACACACTCTCTCTCTCACACACACACACACACACTCTCTCTCTCACACACACACACACACACTCTCTCTCTCACACACACACACACACACTCTCTCTCTCACACACACACACACACACTCTCTCTCTCACACACACACACACACACTCTCTCTCTCACACACACACACACACACTCTCTCTCTCACACACACACACACACACTCTCTCTCTCACACACACACACACACACACGCTCACTCTCTCACACTCACACTCACACTCTCACGCTCACACGCACACACGCTCACACTCACACTCACTCACACACTCTCACTCTCACTCTCACTCTCTCTCTCTCACTCACTCACTCACTCACTCACTCTCACTCACTCTCTCACTCTCTCACACTCACTCATTCTCACACTCACTCTCACTCACTCACTCTCACTCTCACTCACACACTCACTCACACACACTCTCACTCACTCTCTCACTCTCTCACTCTCTCACTCTCTCACTCTCTCACTCTCTCACTCTCTCACTCTCTCACTCTCTCACTCTCTCACTCTCTCACTCTCTCACTCTCTCACTCTCTCACTCTCTCACTCTCTCACTCTCTCACTCTCTCACTCTCTCACTCTCTCACTCTCTCACTCTCTCACTCTCTCACTCTCTCACTCTCTCACTCTCTCACTCTCTCACTCTCTCACTCTCTCACTCTCTCACTCTCTCACTCTCACTCACACTCTCACTCTCACTCTCACTCACACTCTCACTCACTCACTCTCACTCACACACACACGCTCACTCGCACGCTCTCACGCTCTCACTCACACTCACTAACACTCACTCTCTCACTCACACTCACTCACACCCACTCTCTCACT